CAAGTCAAGACCAGTCAGTCTGTACGCAAGTTCGGTTGCGAAAAGCGGCATTCGCTTCATACAAAGTGGCCTGCGTTATCCCTTAATGACTTGTATGGGCTTCTGGGAGGCAAGAATCCGAACAAAGGCGGAGAATGTGTAGATGATCATGCGAGCCCTGGCTAGCTTAGCCTGGGCGTGATAAATTATGTATGTATCTTTGCGCTTTTGGTTACTCCTAGCGTGGCAGTACGCTTACGGCATGTGAATCTGCCACCACCAAGTAATGGCAGTCATGACAGATGTGTCGGCAAACCTCCGTAACAGATATGCCTGGTTCGAGTGCCAAGGCTGTGTTGGCAACCAATGTTGCTTTCTTCGGGAATATCGGGACATGCCGAGAAAAGCTGGCAGGCCTGGATGGAGGTGAGCTGGGTAGATGATGCTGTTTGAGTTGGCGTCATTGGCGGGTGATTTTGGGGTTTGATCGGGAGAGATCTAGGCCCTAGTGCGGGGAGTCAGTGCCGTACTGTATGACCTGGGCTTTATTAAAAGCCATCAATCTTTGCTTGCGGCGGAACCCTGCTTGCCTTTGCCTGGCGAAGTAAGCTACGACCTTTTCTGGTACATATGGGTAGGTCGTGGCGGATAATGCGCCGCCATGCAGTCCCCAGAACGAAGGCAGACTTGTTTTCAGCTCTTTACAATTTTGGCTCATAATGGGTTGCACAATTTATTTGTTTGCACAGACAAAGGGTCACGGATAAAAAAGGAGGCAAGTCACGCTTATCCGAGAGCACCTCCGTGATAGGCAATATGGTATGAAACAAACGAGATTCTGGGCTAGCTGATACAACCTCATCCCGTTGTGACGCCGTTTGAAGCTTGCTTGGGCAAGGCAAAAATCATCGAGTCGTGCACGCTGGTTGGTCGACAACACAACCACAGCGAATACCACATGATCTTTCGCGGGTCGTAACAATCATTGATCAAGCGTCAGGTCTGAGGTTTGTTATTGCTCGCAGATGACATGACAAAAAGCTCCACCACGCCTACCATGGAGATCATTACTTGTGTCCCTTTATATCTCCTCTTCCCATTCATCTTGTGAGCTGGACTCTGACGAGCTTGAGATGTTCTCTGGCGAGCTATCTGCTGACTCGTCCCAGGAGGGAACGTACAGGCCCTCATAATCCCACGGTTTGAAGCATCGTGGAAAAAAGGGAAGAATGCCGTTCGAGGTAAGGTCTACGACCTTGGCTGCTTCTCGAAACTGGGCAATCCGCATGGCTTTGATAGGTGTGGTGCTTTGTTCCTGTTGGCTGGTGTTCCACAACGCAGCCATTAGTGGTCTCAGC